GGATCTATAGAACTACCATTTTATGTTTTGTGTTCATCATCGCTGGGTCCGTCACTCTCTCTTGCATGTTTGTACCGAAGCTGTACATTATCCTCTGGAGACCCGAAAAAAACGTCCCGATGCGTCCTCGCTCCTCGACAATCCGCCTCGGGACGATTTCGCCTTCAGCGTCCTTTGTAAGGCGCTTGAGCGTCGACTCAAACGCGGAGAAAGTCGTTTTCGAAGGAAGAAAAAACCGAATTAATTCCTTGCCCGCGATGGAGCTGGTCAGCTCTTCTGTGGAGGGTGAAGCGCGTGAAAAGTTCAAGAAAACAAAGCGATCTTTTTCTCTTAGCCCCGATATGCTGTCCAGGTATCGAGGGGGTCCAGAGTGTAGCCCCGAGCGAGGACGCCCGGTATTACCGGGTCGTCGACGAGGAAGCCTTCCCGGGTTTACCACTCCTGCGTCCATGGAAATGATTGAAGAAGGGAATGAATTTGACCTGCAGGTCGATGGGGGTCTAAGAACAGATGACGATGTATTCACTGATCCATCACTCAACGAAGAACTTGAGGATCGCGATGATTCAGAAAACTGTCTAAACACTACTAGAAAAGATTGCGAACAAAACTTTCACAATAATGATGGTCTGGCAAAAGGCTGTTCTAACTGCGAAAGTAGTTTTGTTTCTTTTAACGAGCTTCGCGGCAATGGAATCCCTACCACTTGTGCTATCGATGTGGACGACAATTTTGCCGACAGGATTCGAAAAGAACCAGAGCTTAAAACAATAGAGTGCCTGAAATGCGGAACTGCACTCAGCGAGGATGAATGCCAGACAATGCTCTTATGGGAGGCTTTTTGTAAACATTTATCGCAGAATGGACGAAAACAGAAATACAACATTGTACAGTCGACAGATTTGGACACCACACAGCAAGATAAGGACAGGAAACGGAAGTCGGGATTTTCTGGTATAGTGAAAAGTGCTGAGGGTTCCCATGGGAATAGGCAGGTGGACATAAACGACAACAGGGCTATCAAAAGGTTAAGAAATTCTAGTTTTTACAATTGCGAGTGGCTCAGTTTACCTTCGCTCCTGAGCTCTTTTTCAGATGGATTAATTGAACAGAACGATTTGACGAGTAGAACTGAACAGCTGTTGAAAAAACGTAACAAATCACTTCGAAATGTAAAGAACTTCAACCCTTTAAAGGAAAGAAACACTATTGGTACAGCTCAAACGAATGGACGAGTTTGTCATACTTTGCAAAATGGCGGCACGGAAAGTGAGATTGATAAACTTCTTAGTGAAGAAGACGCTGAAACTGTAATGTAACCGCCTTATTTTAAAATAGAACGCTGTTGTCACGCAATGACTGTCACGCGACAGTTTTCTCAAAATTTAAAAAGTATTATTTCTCTCCGAGACTGGAGGGAATAAAAAAAATGAGTTTCAGAGGTAATAAATTAAATTCTTTTGCTCTATTCCCTTAGCCTTGGAACCAAGTATGGATTTCAATACCTTGGAACCGACTTGTTAAACATAGGAACCTGAGGGAAATAATTAGCCCTCGAGATGTGTCAGGGGGGTTAGGGTGGAGAGGAAAGTCTTGGAAATTGTTAGCAAATAAACCTCCAAGGTACTAGAGCCTTGTGGTGAAACCATTATTATTTGGTGTTGCTGAAAATTCAAAATGTGACACCTTATAGCGTGAAAATCTTTTGTAAAGCTGTAAGAATTTTGACTTGAACAATTCAGGGTCCTTTTTTGGGTATCTTTTAAGCTAAATATAATTATTGATTTTATGCAACAGCAGTTACTTCTTTGTACAAAAAGGCAACTTATATAAAAGTTTATCTTGAATTTTTGAGTACTTGATTTAAGAGTAAAACAGTTACAAACCAGTACTACAGACGCTAAAAATGAACGATGAGCAGGACTGTACCACAGGATACTGGTATAAATTGCCCTATGATTAGAATCAAAAGAAAACATTTTCTTCAATGGAACAATTTTTCTAAAATGGGTATTAACTTGCATAGTGCCTAAAGTTCATGTTTCAATTTCTTCTTAGTTAGTGCCAGGGTTCACACAAATAATGGCGACCTTTTTAGGACTTTTCAAGGACTTTACTATGACCACATTAGATTTTCAAGGACCACCTACCAAGAAGGTAATTTCACAGATTACACAAAAATCTACATTCCCAGTCCATTCTAACAGGACTTTAGAGGCTTGAACTGTTTGCTCCACCAACTTTCCGTTCACTTGTCTTAAATAAACTATTTAATGACTGTCTCGAATTCTCCCAACCCCTCTCGTGTTTATATCAGGCTATGCAAACATGGAAAACGTTTTCTATTGCTTAATTATAGTTAATTATTGCATAGAGCAAAAAACGCTTTACGTAAATTACCTTTGCCTTCTCTGAGCTATGACTTACATTGTATTAGACAACCAAAAGCATTAAAAAACACTTTCCAGGCAACTACATTCAAAGATGAAGAAAATTCAAGCACTTTTCAAGGACTTGCACAGAAATTTAAGGACTTTTCAAGGAAAAATGGAATTCAAGGACTTTTCAGCGACTTCCCCGAAAATTCAAGGACTTTTCAAAACTGTGTGAACCCTGGGCGCCCTACTTTCTTCAAGAGAAAATTTTCCTGGGAATTCTTTTATTGCCAGTTGAAGCATTTTAGAGGCATCAAAATGTTAAATCACACTCAGTAATATCATTTTTAAGGTCTTGCAATTCTCAAAATAATATGCAATTTTTAAGTGATGTGCAAGGTTGGTAGAAAAAATATATCTAAGATGCATTTAGGATAAAATGGGCTTTTTTCTAACTAAAAATAAGTTTATATTGTCAGGATTGACCAAAAATATAATATTTGATAAATAGTTTGTACTGACCAAGCACTTACACCAGAGAATAACATTTATTAGTAAAATCCAACTAGTGGTCTATTATCAATGCTGCATTCTGATTGGTTGAGCTACTACTAGGCTATATGTTATAGCCCAGATACAAAGACTTTTTTGCAAAAAGGATTTGGATGTTTTCCTTTTTACTAAAACAATATTCCTCGATTTTTGGCATCATTTCCCATTCTTGGGAATATTAAATAACTTAGCAGCACACAGATACAAAGACTTAATTGCACTGGATGTCTTCCTTTTCGCTATATTTTTTGCAATTTCTTTGATATTTATGTTTGCAGTACATAAAAAAAAGGCCACAACTATTTTTGTTGCTGTATTCCAAGATTAAACAAGGTGTAGTATTGCTGTCTAGGCATTAGCCTGCAAGAGCATCCGGTTTTTTTGCAGGCTATCTAGGAATCCAAAAAGAAACAGGCTCATGGCAGACCCTTTGGGAGATCCTTAGCTCAAAGAGCAAATTTTCAACAAATCAGAAGCACTGCCCAGATCTGGGTAGTGGTGAATCATCGGTAGGGAATTACTGCAGTTGTTCCCCAGACATCAATTTGTGGGGAAATCAGTGGTGGCATCCCAACATGTCAACTATTTGGTCAGGCTGGTAATTGATGAATTTGATAATAATATTGATGACAATTACAAAACCTTTTGTGATCAATAATAGACCTCTTTAGCTTGTTTGCTTTGTTTTTCCCATTGCAGACCATGCAATGATAACCCAGAAAACTGTTTCTTTGACATGTTGCACTATCCATGTGCATGCATAAACAATGAAACAACAAGAGGAAAATTTCCTTGAGAACATTATGTGGTCTGAATTGAAAAAAAATATATATAATAATAATAATACAGGGTAAAATCTAACAATTCTTGATATCAATTTGTTCATTGATATCAATTGCCACAGATCATCAATTTCATCGACTGCTCAGGCCATAATTAATTTGCCAATTTGCAGGCACATTTTTTCACATGAGTCAGTTTTTTCGTTCTCTATAGATTGTGGGTCCCCCTAAAAGTTTATACGAAAGCTGTTATAGACACATGAACACAAGAAAGTAAAAGACATTGCGAGTGTTGATTTAAAAAATTATAATATAATTTTCAACTACTCACTGTCTCATAGGAAGTTACAACTCTCAAGTGTTCCATTTCTTATCACGCCATGGTATACTGGCACGCTAACTCAGTTCTTTAATCCTGCATCATCTCCAGAAATTATGCCACAATTACAACGTTCCTTTAGCAAATTACAGTCTGTACAAAGTGGAAAAGTTTTTAAACAAACAAACGATAATAATCTTCACTGAGAGCTCAGTTAATTTCCCTTGGGTGGCACCCATTCCTCAATCTTTGGACGAGTAGTGCTAAAAGGAACGTACTCCATCTTAGTTCCAGTTTTGTTGTCCTTGTGAGACAGAGTGAACTTTCGTTGGGGAGGAGGCACTTTCGTGGGAGGATCATCCGTAATGTAGTGCAGCCAACGGTGCCACTCCGATGGAACTTGGCTCGCATCATAAGTAAAGCGGTCGACGTAAGGGTAGTGTACGTAACGATGTCTTGAAAAAAAGAAGCTGTTATTTTCGTAGTACTTGTTACCGTATTTATCAGTTCCTACAAGACTTCCATAGCGAACGTAGCACTCCCTCAGTAGCAAGTACCAGGCAGCCTTCCAGCCTCCAACAGATTTAATGCCGTTAAGCTCCTTTCGAATAGAATTCAAGAAATACGACATGTTGAAACCCAAAAACAATATGGCCGACTGGTTTGAGGGCTTCTCTTATTGCAAGGGTTTCTGGGAATATCTGCAATCGCAGTGAACAGCGGCTTACCGTTGCAGATTAATGGCGGACAAGGTTGCCTTGTGTTAGATATCCCTAAATTTGCTGTTTTAGTACATCGACATCAAAGAACAAGAGAAACTGCAAACATGGTATGCGTACTTTTCAGTTTTATTTCATTTTTATTCCACTTCAGGACCTTTTAGTAACCTTGTTCAATAGGCTTATCAAGGGTAAAGAACACTGACATTAATAATGTTGTTTCCGTTTTTAGGCGAGAAACGCTGAGAAAGCTATGTAAGTTCCCGCCTTTATTCTCTATTTTAGATTCATTGTAATAAGGGCTATTCCACTAAATGTACAGAACCCCCGTTGATTAAGTAATTTCATAGCGAAAGCACAATAATTTAAATGAAGCAACTTTTTTTCCCTCTGCAAAACTGGTGTGTTGAAAGTATTAAAGGACGCAGGACCTTTTTCTGAGAAACCCTTCAATCTATACATGTTTAAAATCTCTTTCAGGACTATGCTTGCTCGCTGGTATGATCTGCAGAGAAAGGAGGCTGGTAAAGGAATCAAGGTATTGAACGGTTTTATATAACTTAATAATAATAATAGTAATAATACTACTACTACGAATAATAATAATCACTATTATAATTTACCCTTGGCAGTGTTTTGGCACTAATAGGGTCTTAGAGATGCCGTGACAGTGACGACAGTGAGAACATCAAAAAAGCAATAGGTTGATGCATCATGGGTACATTTCAAAATTTCAATTATGGAGGACATAAACAAACAACTTCTAAATTTTCTTTCTCTTTCTATACTAGAATATGGTTTTTAGGGATTCGTTGTAAACAGAGTTTGCTTGTATTCGCAGTAGATGAATTTGAGTAATCACAGTACAGATTGAAAGAATGAAATTTCACTCTTAAAGTGACCTTTTCGTGTTAAACTCCCTAATGTTAGTGGGGCTGAGGAAATGCCTGTAACAAATAATTCAAATTGAACTTAACAGGATTATTGAACTCTGGACCACAGTGAACAAATCCAACTAGCGGTCAGAGCGGGACTTGAACTCAGAGCCTCCAAATTGCAAGTCCAGCGCTCTAACCACTCGGCCATCCTGCCTTCTTGTAAAATATTTCAAGAATGATTATTGTCTTGTGACCAATAAGAGTAAACCACAAACTGGTTAATTACCATGGTTACTTGTGCTTTAGTATTCTCACACCTAACTGAATATAGTCACATTCTTGAAATATATTCATGGTTTTTATGGTTTTGTAAGTTTCACAGTGATATTATCATCATATGCACTGAAAGGTATTAAAAGAAGTAGTTTGGCAAAACCCCACTTTACAGAGTTTAGGTCTTAATTTGAGCTGTACAAATCTACTGCTACTGTGTAAAATTAATAAATACTATTATAGTATTTGATCTATCCCATCATTCTCAGATGAATGACTTATTTCCAGCTTTATTGATACAACTAAATTAAGATGATTGCCTTCCATTGCCTTTCCAATTAAAACTTCCCATACATTGAATCTTTTACAGGTCAAAATTAAATTCAGGTTAAATTTTTTAAAGTAGGTTGATTCTCAATTTCCTTTTTCTCCTATCCCTGATTGTTCTTGAATTATGGCTAGAGGACAAAGGAAATTAAGAATCAACCTAGGTTAAAAAATGTTAACATGAATTCAATTTTGACATGTAACGTATCTGTTGAAGTTAATTTTTTTATTTCAGGTAATTTTTGTTTTTCCTTTGTTTCAAAATCATTAGCATACATTACCATACCCAAAAACAATGGAAAAATAAAAATTAACTGAGATAAAAAATTAACTACAACATATCCATATCTCTATTTATGATCCTAACTTGTTTTCTTCTTCAGGAAAGAAGACCCTTTCTTGCGACAGAATGTGACAATTTACAGGAAGCTGAAAAATGGCGCCATCAGGTGGGTTTTACCCCTTCTTTAAAAAATCCTTTTTGACATAATAACATTATCTTGAGTTGAAATTTTATTAGATTTTTATTTACTTAGTATTTTGTAAATATAGAACACTTTGCAAATATGCAATATTTTCTGGATCAACCCACCCAGAAAAGTACAGTACCTTTTTATTCATATTTGAAGGAGATTTCTGGATCCTTGAAAATTCTTTACTCTACCCATTGAGGATTGTGGGAGGCAATCTGAGGTAATGTAAATATGTCATATACTGACAAGAGATCTGAGAACACACCGGGACAACATGGCGGTTCACTACAAACACGTTTTTATTGAATCTGTGCTTGCGTATGTAATTACTATATCTGGTAAATGCACAGGGAGACCATAACAAAATACAGAGTAAGTTTTATGGTTGGTTAGTGTACGTTGCCTTCTTTATGAGAGGTCCTGAGTTTGATTCCCATGGCAACCTCAAATTCACTGTTAAGCTTTTTAAAGGTACGCGTTCACAAGCCCTAGGATTTCATGGTAACAGTCACTTCCAGTACTGTGTTGTCACTGTGGTCTGAAAATAATGGAACTGAAGAATTGTCTTCCATTGACATTTTCATCCTTGGAGATCAATTAACAGAAATTCACTATTTTTCCACTGAGATTCGTAACGTAGTAGAGCAATTTATTCTTTAGTTATGTCCCGGCTTATATTGATACGAAACAAAAACATTGTTTAGCATCTGTCAGTTTTTCTATTGTCTGCCATCTTAAATCTTTCCCTAAGTGCATTGAACATTTCTGGTTATGGCTTCCAGTGCCAAGAAAAAGTAGACGTCTTTGAAAAATTAAAATCATTTAGGAGGTGGGTTCCCATGAATTTTCACGGAACCAAAAAATTGTTACAGATAGTCTTCCATGACCTCTGGACACGGGACTGAACAATTGTTTTTCATGGGATTTGAAATCCTAGGGCTTGCGTTCAAAGCAAAAAATGCCAGGACAACAGAGCGCTGGTGGAGAGAGGGGTGTAAAATGAGTGCACCATCAACTTTAGTTCTGTTAGTCAGAATGTGCTCTTAACCTTTAACTTTTTAATTGCAGAAATCTCAAAGTGTTGAGCATTCAGTATTGCGTAGCTAAATGTGTTCCCTAACCCTTGTTTCCGTTCAACAGATCGTAAGAGAAGTTGCTAAAAAAGTTGCCCAGATTCAAAATGGTAAGGGTTTCATTACATTTAGACAGTAAACGTTGTCATCCACATAATGATTAAAATACAGATAAACCATGACAAAAGTATTCTCATCAAGAGGTTAACTTTGGTGGGTAACAGTCCTCTGTTAACCTCTGACATAATAGATTTTTTAAAGGTGTTCACTCAAAAGTGTTTGGCAGGCCATTTTTGTTAGATGTTGTGCCACCTTGAAGAAACAGCGGTGTAGCAATGAGATAGTTTTCAGGGCTCCAGATAGGCAGATAAGTACAGAAGTTCAGTCATGTTGGTAAAATCACTAACTTGTAATTTTTTTTTCAATTGATAACTTGTTCCCCAGCTGGTCTTGGTGAATTTAGAATACGTGACCTCAATGATGAAATTAACAAACTTCTAAGAGAGAAACGTCATTGGGAAGATCGCATCAAGGAATTGGGAGGACCAGATTATGGGGTAAGCCAGAAAGACATTATTGCAGTTCATACATGTCTAGATAGATTTTCAAAAACATTACCACAAAATGCAGACCCCCTCAGACTGTCGAGCATTTTTTTTTTGTTACTCCAAAGTAGCCAACAAAGACCTTAACCCTCTAAGTCCCAATAGTGACCAAGATCAAATTTCTCCAAACAATATCCATACACTGTCAAGAGATAAGTTATAAGCATTAATAAAATGATCACACAAGAGAAAATGCCTTGATCTATTATCAAATTCTCTCTACTTATTCTTTAAGAAAATGTATAGAGATCAGTTTGGAGAATTTGTATGTGGATACTGGGACTTAAAGGGTTATTAGATTCAAGGATGAAAACAACTACAAGTACAAGATTTGACTGAAAGTCTTTTTGTTTATCCTGAAAAAATGGACACCCCAGAAAGCTTCCTCGTACTTTTGATTCACCAGAAAAGTTAATACTGTTATCTTTACCAAATGGAGGTTAAGCCCTCTCGCAGTCATAATTAATGATAAAACCTCTAACATTTGATAACTTGTTTCTGCCCGCACGACATTCTTGGTAAAACTCATACTACAACTTGACAATGTTTTCCCTCCAGAATGACTCTGGTTCACACGCATGCACTACTTAGTATTGAGAAAATCTTGCCGTCAGAGTTGTTCTCGTCTTAGAATCTAAAGGTCACTAATATAAAAACTTAAAGTTCAGCCTTTTTTTTCTCTTCGCCTCCTTTTTCTTATTTCACCACAGAAAAAAAAAAGAAAAGACAAGAATACAGAAAATACACACGGATGCACAATGTGGTGAGGAAGCCCAAACAGAAACCATAAGGCTTTTTTTATAGATATTGGGCTTCCTCAGAGTATAAAAGTATAAATTTCCAAGGCCAGGATTAATTGTATACAAAGTAATAATTACTTTGACATTGATAAAAGGTGGAGAACTTTCCTCCTCGCTCTTGCTATTTTTCCTTTTCTTTTTCCTTTGCCCGACAAAACAATAATATTTTAGGGCTAAAACGGTTGCAAAAAACTGCCCTTTGGCCCTTTTCCACTCAAATGGCTCTAGATTTCGCTAGTTTGTTGTCAAAAATCTGACTAGTAATGCTATTAAATAAGCCAAAAAAGAACATGAATTATTTTTGATAAAAAATAAATGATTTTACAGGGCATATTATATAATGTTGAAAATATCATTTTTAATATTGGTTCACTAAAAGAATATTAATTTAACATCTGCAGTTATAGATCTAAAATGGTGTTAAGAAACTATGACAACAAAGATGCTTTTTTGTTGCAGAAAATTGGCCCCAAGATGCTTGATCATGAAGGGAAAGAAGTTCCTGGGAACAGAGGATACAAGTGAGTGTTTTAATTGGCCCTGGTACATTGCCATCCATTTCTCTTTGCAATGAATGAAGAAGCAATCCTCTCTGTTATGATGCTATGTTGGCCTGGAATGTGAGGAATAAGATAATGTGTGGTTCAGAGCACCCTGACTGAACAGGCCTGATGATGTGATGATGATGATGATGATGAGTGCAATAACACGCCTTATAATTATTAATTCATGCATTTGCAAAGCAAAGGCCGAAAAAGGAAAATAAATAAATAAGAAAATAAGACAGGGAATGCCAAATAATGAATGTTTTTCAAGCCCGCACTATCCTCCAGTGCATTGCTGTAAGCTACTGAAGCTACTGTTACTGATGCATAACTTCTGTTTCTTATGTTGCAATAAAGAGTGAAGCTAGTTGCCAGTTTGGTTTTAAGAAGTATCAAAATCAATATTCAAATGATACCATCTCCTTACTAAGAATCTTTGGTGTTTTTAGTTAACCACGCAAATCACATGTGTTCTCTTTAACCAAAAACTATTCTCCTCTAAAATCAAAACTGATCTAAAGCTAAAACAATTTTTTTTGTTACATTTAGGTATTTTGGAGCGGCAAAAGATCTTCCTGGAGTTAGAGAGCTGTTTGAACAAGAACGTAAGTTTGTTAAACAGTAAAGTAGTTCATTGAAGAGATAATTCACCAGGTTTTTATTACAGTTTATTAAAGAACAAAATACATTGTTCTGAATATGAGATGGTCCACACCTCAGTAAAACAGACACCTTGGGTGCTTACCATTCAAAAATCCCCCCAGGTAGAAATCTTCCACATAAAAATAAAACTAGAAAATTTTGCATAGTGGGAGAAAAGCTGGCTGCAAACTATATCCAAATCAGCTGAACAGACTAAAAAGAGTAGGAAAATTGCATCGCCTTAAATCGCAGCCCATATTTTCTGAAGCTTTCTAATTGGAATGGAAGAAAGGTGGGGGCCATCTCTAGGAGTATGTACCATTTACATGGGAAAACCGGAAATTCAGGATGAAAAAGCGAGCGACATTACTCTTAGTGCTGCTCCCAAAGGTGTCTATCTTAGAAAGAGCTAACTGAACTACCAGTCACTACATTGTACTCCTAGAGTTGGCCCCTGCCTTTCTTTACTCTGTTTATTTGACACTCTGTATGGCGGACATTACTCTTAGAGCTGCTCCCAGAGGTGTCCGTCTTAGAATGTGTTCATCGTATAAAGGATTTTTATGGAAAGGACAACTTCAAATTGAGATTACCTGAATTGTATTATAGCACCTGCTCCACCAAGGAAAACTAGAGGAGAGTTGTACAAAGATGTCGATGCAGACTATTATGGCTACAGAGATGAAGATGATGGAGTGTTAGTTCCTCTGGAACAAGACGTGGAAAAAGAAGGTTGGTTTTCATAAAGTAAAATTTGCCATAGTTTAATCTTTTTATTCCCAAGGCAGTATTAATATTCATGTTCTCCCATGTTGCCATGCCCTTGCCATGCAAACTAGTCAAGGAACACCCTGGTTATTGCACCTTATACTCTCCCCAGTCCTCCTCTGTTTTCTTAATCAAAGAGGTAGCCACTGCACGAAGAAAATGCTGAGTAATTGCCCAGCTGAGAAATGTACTTGCGCTTTAAAGCCCTCTCCACCCATTCTTGAGTCAAGAGAGCTAATTCGCAGGTTATGTTCGCAGTTATCTGTATATTTTACCACTATGCCAGTTGGTTTATGAGGTACTTTTTGATTCACCCTTTTCGCGAACCTTGCAGCTATCGCCAGAGCAATGGAAGAATGGGAAAGAAGAAAAGAAGAAGGAGAGGTGGTAAATGAACCGGAAACGGAAGAGGAAAATATTTATGCTGTCACCAAAGAACAAGAGGTACATTGTAGGCACTCTTGTAAATGCTCCCAGCTCTTATTGAGCTTGCGTGTCATCTGGGGACTGGGTCGATGTTGAGTCGAAATGCACTGTGGAACTGTTTGCAGACACTATATCATTTTTTTTTTTTAAAGGTTTTGCAGGAAAATGACTCAAAATTCGTCCCCCAAAACATTCCCATGGTTCAGTTTGACTCAACACCGACCCAGGCCCAAAGGCTAATAAGCGCCCACGTCCTTGGCCAAAATACCAAATAAGCGCCCCTAGGCGCGTTATTAACCCTCGCCGTTTTCCACTCAAAAATAGTGTCCGCTTAATACACTTCTGTTTTGCAAATATAATAATATGGGAAGTGGCCTGTTCCAAGCGTTCAGATGGCTCTCATTCCCCACTCCACCCCTCGCTGTTTTTCCTGCCCACTTTTCTTTGCGCTTTGTCCACTGTATGAACGCTTGGAACAGGCTAGCCTCGCACCCGGGCGTTCTTTTTGCTTGTCATGCAACTCTTCCTAACGAACGTTCATGGGGAAAGAACGCGCGACGAAGCCCTAGGAATGTCTGAGTGGGAGGCTAGGAACAGGCTATATCAGTATATGGGATGGAAAAATTTGGTGTCAACGCTTAATATGGGGTCCTCTTACTACAGTCACTTTTCACTGTTAGTAACCCCGTACAGCGATCCATAATGCTATGATAAACGTACATGTCCCATTCACCGTTGGATCGCAAATACGAGAGCCATCAGTAGTAGATGACACAGACTTCCAATATGATTGATTCACTTTGAGTTTTTGGCCTGGCAAAAATGTGTTTCTCATTTTTCCTTTAATAGGTCAGGATGGTATATTTTACTTTTTTTGGTCTTAAAGAAAAGCGAGCGATTTACGCGGGATCACGTATTAAGATCGCCCTTCGCGTTTACGGCTTGCTTTACGATCTCTGGAGGAAAACCATCGTGAATGCATGTAGCTGTTGTCTAAAACGGATTTCCTTATATTTTTGCTTTGAAAAGGAAGGTGACGACGAAATGGAGACGGATCAAACGGAAGAAGGAAACCAGCCTTTTGTCGCTCATGTGCCGGTACCTTCACAAAAAGAGGTTGGTTTTATAATTGCAAAGTTGACTTCATTCTCAGACATATTGAAAACATACTGTAAAACATTTTGCTTTGTAGACAGACACACGGCTCATGTATGTGCACAGACACGTTGACAATTTTATTATTTTTTTTTTTCACACCTTCTAGGTAGAGGAGATGCTTGTCCAGAGAAAGAAAATGGTAGGCGAACTTTGATACAAAGGTGGTAAAATTGCTAAATTGAAACGAAGTGCAGTCTTTTCTAAGTTTTTTGTCTTGCTTTTAGGAATTACTTGAAAAATACGCCAGCGAGACATTGATGCAACAAAGTCAGGAGGCGAAAGCTTTACTTGGTCTTTAAAGGACGCAAGCGCTTTCTCGTGTAAATACACCCTCTATGCCGGCTACGGTCTGAAGCACGTCGCTCAAGCCTGTCAAGTTCCTTTTCACTTCAGATTCTCTCTCATAGCACGTGACCGAATGCAAGTGAGATATCAGGAAACTTGCGAGCTGGGCAGGCTACACGTGACATGCGCCGAAGTTGCCATGGTTACGAAACACTGGCACTACAGTGGGAACACAACTGTTTGTCTTGGAAATGAGGAACAGAGGCGATATTTATCACAGTATGGACAGCTTCGGACAAGAGAAGACAACAAAACGTGGAAACAATTTAGGCAGCCTTGACTGTCTGCTATAATTTAGTAAAACGGTTTTTCAATGTTCGTTTAATAACCATGACATACTGTATATAAATAAGAAGTAAATCTCTACCCAGGCGAAACTGATATGTCGCTTCTTGATAACTATTTATACAATTTTGCGCGAACATTTGTTTTGCATGAGTCGCCAGTTTTACTATTATTATTGTCTTTTTTTTAGGCTAAGAAAGGAATTGTAGGGAGGAGCGCTGCCTGACGACTCCAAAAACGGTTGCGAAGGAGACTACCACATTTCTCCGTTAAAATAACATTGTATTTGTTTCAAGAAAACAAACTGTTGGTATTAAGCGAGCTCTCAGAGTAGACTTCACGGGAAAATGTCTTATAATGCAACACTACTTCATAAAAAAAATACATCATACCACTTTGTTAATCACTTAAGGAGCTTCATAGCAACTGGTGCGTAGCCTGTTCACAGACCCTCTAATTTCTGTTCTACGTCCGTCGAGCGCGCGCGCGTGATAAAAAATAAACCGCGGAGGATCTATTGACCGCCAGCGCAAGCTCAAGGGCGTAAGGATGGAGAACCAGGCCAACTGGTGCGCGAAATATAATTTTTTTTTTTTCAGTTTCCATGCCAAAATGTTTAAAATTTCTCGTTTATTTCCATGAAGAACGATTTGTAGCCTCCATGTTCGGTTGAACCCAAGTCCTGTCCTAGTAGTCCAATCCGCCATTTCGATTGCACATCCGGTCCGTGTACTTTGAGGAGTCTGGACATGAAACCCGCGTTTAAATTATGTAAATTTCGCTGTTCGCAGCGTTTTCCGTTTGAACTGAGTTGAAAGCAAATTTACTGCCAAATACCCTTCTCATGTTATGAAATCAGCCGACCTACAAGACTCTTTCGACTATCTTTTCAAAATCGTTTTGATTGGCGATCCAGGAGTAGGGAAGACATGCATTGTTCAGCGGTTCAAGAAGGGCACCTTTGTCGAGCGACATGGCAGCACGATCGGTGTCGATTTCACCATGAAAACATTAGTCGTCGACTCCAAAAAAGTTAAGGTGAGAGCATCTTTTAACCTTTTTAACGGTCAAAGGAATTGTTTGTTGAAAAAAAGTGGGACTTGTAGCAAAAACATGGATGATTTATTTATATTTGCATAAGCTTACACTGATGTTAAAAGCGCCTTAAAACCTTAAACGTATACATTTCCGCCTCAAAGGGCTATTAAAATCTACACAACCAACGCGAATTTTTCCTGATGAAAAATGGAAAATTGTCACGTTTTTGTCATCTGGCGCAAAAATATCCTACTGTGTCCGTACTTGCCTGTCATAGTTTTATGAGTCAAAATACAAAGTTTTTAATTTTTTATCAGTTGTTTCTCAAGCAAAAGATCTGAATTGATTTCATCCAGCATATGTAGTAATTAGAGCGTATTTTTTTTTCGAAGATATTTATCCTACAGCGACTTTTCAAAATAAACAATTTACTTTAAAGAAAAGCCACGAATTCCCTTTGTCTCGAAGGTTTTGAATTATGAGTTAATGCAAGTTTCAGGCTATATTTACACTGTCAGTGTTTGTTTTCAAACCACAATGTGTAAGACAAAATGTTCTTGAAAACAGTACATGTTGATGTATTCAGTGGTAACATGATGCAATACGACACTCAGTGGTGTTAAATTTTGTTCAGGGAAGTAGTGGCCATGAAAATGAAGATAGTCTTACAGCCCTGGGGGAGGGGCACTCTGAAAATATTTGGGTACACGTGAGCCACTGAAGGTTTGACCCTGGCGCTATTTAGGACTAAAAATTACACAGGCTAGGCTGATTCCCAAATTTTATCAAATCTATATGTGCTTCTGGCATGTAACAGTGCAATTATGCTGTGATCAGGTAGTGCTTCTTCCCTTTTTGTTTTGGAGGTGAGGGGAAAAAGATGCCTGATACAGCATACTACATTTACGTAGCAGTCCGCCAACGTTTGCGCTATCCCTGAAAAAGAATGCCTGATTTCAGGTTACAGTGTAATTTATTCTTTTTATGCCATATTCCATATATTGCTTTTTAGAGAAGTTGAAAGTGTGAAATTCAATACAATTTATAACACACACTCTTCCCTGGGGCAGATGCCAAAAGGTAAAATAAGTGGCCCACCCCATAGTTGTGAATGGTAGCTGCTTAGAGCACTTGACAGCTGATTATTCCCACATAGGGTATTCACTGCAATTATGTTTAATATTTCCCCAGTGTGACAATCCACATGCTCTGAGGGAAAAGTTTATTCATCTGCAAAATGATAGTCTTTTGTACCAACTTTGTCCACACATCATCATGCCCAAGCATAGTGATTTTGTCAGCCATTGGCTACTTTTCTAAAGTTGGACATTTGTCTGATGACCACCTGTTATTTCCAGCATAATGTGAGTGGCAAACATTATTTTAAGGTCACACACTGTGTAATTGGGTGACAAGACGGGGGCGGAAACTGGGGGGTTGGGTGTGGGAGCCTTAGAGAATAGGGGATGGGAATGTTACATGAGGCAGGATGAGAAAGAGCTGGAGTTGGGAGGGTCGGAAGGAGGAGCAATAGCGGGAGATTGTGCCACTATGCTTAATATAAAGAGCTAAAGGGAGGAAGCCAAGAAATAAGGGGCGGGAGCCCAAAATGTAACCCGAGAAAACGGCCAACATTTCCTTTTTCCCTGAAAAAGGGCATCTGAGGAAAAAGCCCAGTAATTATATACTGACGACGTGTCACTACCCAGAACTGGGAAGTGCTTCTGATTGGTTGAAAATTTGCTTTAACCAATCAGAAGCACTACCTAGATCTGGGTAGTGACAGGTCATCAGTATGAAATTTCGGTATTCTCCTCAGATGTCATTTTGCAGGGAGACCAGTGGTGGTGTCACAAAAATGTGGGCTGTTTTCTCAGGCCACCTTCTGGAATGCAAGGTACTGGAGATGGAAGATTTGGGTCCCCTGTCCCTCCTCTCCCCCAGTCTAATATACAACTGTGTTATATTCCAGTTGCAAGTATGGGACACAGCTGGTCAAGAAAGATTTCGAACAATCACTCAGAGCTACTACAGAAGTGCTAATGCTGTGGTAATAACTTATGACATTACAAAGAAAGACACTTTTAAGAATGTTGTAAGGTGGACAGAGGATGTCAAAAAATATGCCCCACCCAATGTACTTAAACTTCTGGTGGGCAACAAGACAGATATATCTGAAAGCCGGGAGGTCAGCATTGAAGAAGCTAGGGCTTGTGCAGCTCATTATGGAATGATTGATGTTTTGGAAGCCTCAGCCAAGGTGGGAACACAAGAAAATGGCTTTTGATTTGGTTTTAGCTAATAATCACTGAATCAATCACCTTGTGTATTAGCCTGAATTTCAGTGGTCCGCTCAGGTGGGACAGTTGAAATTCATGCTAGTTTTGTATGAAAAAAGCCAAAAAAAAAATTCTAATAAGGGTCTGACAATGTTCATAACCATTTCACGTTGATTAACCGTGGTCCAACTGTGACCAGTTGATCCCAACTGACTGAGAAAAGATTGCTAGCAAGCAGTCTAGTTCAATGATTCTCTGTGTTCTTTTTCATAGCTTGGGTAGCAGGCATTGGTTTTCTCAAAGCAAAGGGGGAAATCTCGAAGGCGGGGACATGGGGGAAGAAAAGAAGATGAGGCCTCCCTTCCTATTTGCATGTCCCCCTAGTGTGCTTCCTGCACTTTATAAATAAAATTGAGGAAAAAAATAGCCGGTGCCTGTCACGAAGGCCCTCCTTTCCTTATCTCATGTTCCCCTTGTGCACTCCATGTGCTCTATAAAGACTGACCAAGAGAAATAACAAGCTCGTGTTACATAGCTAGCTTCTCATAATCTCACTTTTGTGACAAATCGGCTCATTAACACCTTTCATTGCATCAACAGGATGCCACAAATGTTGAAAATGCATTTATACGTGTTGCAACAGAACTGAAGAGTCGGTATGAGAATGGATCTCACCTGCAAGCCACCATAGTGGAAGGAGATGTGATTTTAAATTCAAGGAAAGTTGACAGCAAGTGGTGCAGATGTGGTTAGTCAAGACTCACACAGAGTTATTATGAACGTTATGAACGTGATGTAAAAAAATAATATTGTTAGACTTAGAGAGCAGTGTTATTTATTGTTCCATTTATGTCATGAGGTCGTCATGACAAGTTTGAGTCCGTGAACTCTGAGAAAAACATAAAAAAGACAAAGACAAAAAACAAAACAGATGTGACATATCAAACAGGAGTAGGATTGTTTCAACCGATATCCAAACACATGAGACAACTGGAATTTGATTGGTTGCTGAAACATGAAAAGCAGTTGAGGTTTTTCAGTAATTTGAAATTGTGTCATGTGAAAAATTAACAGACCTTTTTCAAAACCAGTAGTAAAATAAATTGTTAAACGTATTTTATATTAAAACGGTAGATATAAGCATATTTTTATCCCCTCGTGAAATTTTCATCTGTTCAAATTTCCTAGCCTAAAGGCTAGTGATCCGAAAACTTACGTCAAAACTTACCTTTTCGAAAATTTCAGCCAGAAAAAGGCTCCCGAAAACTTCTAAATGACCTTTTAGGGTAAAATATCCAAACACCGAGACAATTTTTTAATGTTCGAAAATCCTAAAAACATGAAAAATTTCGGTTCCGAAAATTCTAGATCTCAAATCGTCTTCCGAACAGATATTTTCCAAAAATTGTCGTTGGGTGCCCCTGTTGTGTAGGCAGTGATTAAACTTTTTTCGATTGATTGATGTAGCTTTTCAAATGATCACTTAGTGATATATTTAATAGAATGAAAAGGTTAGCCAAGACGCTGTTTTAACGGTGCCTCGCCCAATTTAATTTTTTTCAGGAAAATGTGTCTTCAGATATCATTGCAGTGAGTTTGAAATTGAGTTTATTTTGCTGATTATGGAATTTAACGTGTTTGAATATATTTGAGTGAAATGCTGATTCAAATGTTTTAATCACTCCATTGACGATTATTTAACATATTAATTTTAAGGACTGATCTAACACCTCTGACAAGAAAGGAGACTAGCGTTTTAGAAATATGAAAGTTGTAGATTTAGAGTTACTTCAAGAATGTTCCCGTTGCAGGAAATATTTATTGATGATAAGCTTCAATTCAACGTCATGGTAAATATTAATAAAGGTTCCATGGTTTGATTTATATTTGTTGCAACTGATGTTATTTTCAACAAAGGAAACGAAATTCGCCCTTGCCATCACCCTCTCTCATCCATGAAAGTCGCGAAGCGTCGTAACCCTCGTCCCAAAATCCGTTAAATTGCGATCCGGCTAAATTTTAGCGGCCCTGTTAGTTTGCTTTTCATTAATCTTTTTGCAAGTGAAACGAACGTGGAGCCTGATCGCAGGTTACGGCTATGCAGACGAGGTTGGAGAGGGTAAAAAAGGCTCAAACCAACCAGAAGTCATGTGCTGTTTGCGTATTTATCGCTAAATTCATTCCTCACGTGATCATATTGATTTTAGCCTGAGAATATCGACATCCTTCCTTGCTCCCCTAAAAAAACTAGTCAACAAAACTAAGGGGCATAAGGTAATTAAACGACGATTGGATAACTTAACCAACAACCTCGCCTCCCTTGGTGAGGAATTAAACAAAGCACCCCAAAAACTTCCACGTTTGCGCAAAAGAAAAAAAATGAAACGTAAATGTAACTGGTATCCAATAATTGATAGGGGATACAGAATTAAAGTTCGCACATGTTGCCTCCTTATAAAGTTCGATCGGGAGCAAAAATACCATCAGTAACAAGTGTTGGGGGTATTGACACCCTCAGAGGGTACTGAGTCGGATACTGATTACCTTCAACAGCGAAAATGATTGCCTATAATGTACCACAGTCAATTCTACGTCCTTTGCTGCCTTGAAGTGAGATTAATTTATTCGTTATTATCTATTTATATTAAGCCAACACAAATATTAGCAGTGCTTAACGAAAGTATCAGGGTCCATACCTTCAATATTTTCGGTCTGGAACAGCTATGAATGTTCATGGAACGTTCCTCTGATACAATGTTAATTTATGACTAGTTTAAATGTTCGAAAGAGACAATGTGCTCAAAATCTTACAGCTCTACTGAAAGCGACAAACTGCCTAATGCAACTTGTCTGCCTTTGATAAGCGTTATACCAGCTCATATTCCACTGGTAGTCTTGATAAGTTCCCATATCGCCATAGGCTTTGTCATAATACTGTTCCCAAGGTGACGAATATGCTTCACTTTGTGAGGAGTAGTTAGCTTCATAGCCTCCTGGATGGGGATAGTAATAACTATAACGACCGTCATAATTGTCATAATGACCGTAATAATTATGACTGTCGCCGTAAATATGCCATCCATCATTATGATTGGAATTATACCAATGGTAATTTTGATTTAAGCCAGAAAGTAAGCTGCCACAATGACCTGAAATATCATCGTGAGTTCGATTCTGATTCTGATGATAATAATCTGAGCTTCCAGTGTCGTCACGAAACGGTTCCTGACTGCCACTGAATCTCTGCTGTGCATGTTGACGGAAATCTTGCCCATCTCTCGCAGTTCCAAATTGGCTGGAGGACATGGATGCTTTTTGTGAGATTCTGTCATTGCTATCATTCGCGCTGTCGCTTTCAACGTCATCATCCTCCGACTCACTTGAAGTCGAGGAAGCCTCAACCACATTATCAAAATCGGAAACCTTTTCCAGGTAATTCTCGAGATATTTCTCAAATTCTGTCACAGAAGGTAACTGTTGACTTAAGTCACGCTTTTCCTCCATTGATAACAGATTACCATCGACACCGCGTTCAAGATCGTTGGAATTTTCTGCACTCTCATTACCTTCGTGATCGGAGCCCTCTCTGCCGTCTGACAGAGACTCAAACATTTTTTCATCATCAGATGATGAATTCATTTTATCACCAATGTTGCTGGTCTTTTCGTTTTCAAATCCTCCATTATTGCTAGTTGCTTTAGCCGGTGGCAAATGATTCCCAGGCTTGTGAAAGGACTTTGATTCAGAACGCGGATCAAGTTTTAAATCTTGCAGTGGTCTCAGAATATGCTCATTTTCTCCTACTAAACAGGCCGACGTTTCTGCAGATTGTATTGAAGGTCCTTGTTCCAACATCCCTCTTTCGCTGCTTTTAATCAAATCAGTTTGAATTTTGGACTGACATTGAAAATTCTCTGCAGCTCTGCCATCTTTTGCTTGTCCTTGCAGCTGGTCAGCGTCCGAAACTCCCTGATCCTTTCGATAAAGCTTCTCGTCAACGTTCTCCTTTTCATAGGGCAAGTCTTTTTGTAAAGTGTTCTGCATATCTTCCGTCATTTTTCGACGCTGTAAATCATCATCTTTTAGTTGTAAGTTGACGTTCTTCACGGTCTCGGCCTTGTTTAAAAGAGAATCTTCTTCAGTTTGTTCACAAAGAGACGTATCCTGCAGCACTAGGGAGTCAGTTATTTCCGATGCAGCATTTTTCGTAGAAGCTTGAGTCCTTCTGGGCTCTGGGCTGTCCTTATTCACTATGCCTTCAGAAGAATCAATGCTGCAGTTTGTTAAGATATCAACTTCAACTGATGCTGGTTTTGGCGATTCAGAGGCAAGCGTACTGGATGCATCACTAGAGCGTAGGAACTGTGGAATGGGATCTAGAACAGCACAAACAGCAAGGTGACAGTTTAATACAGTAATATTTCAGTACATTGTAGGTTCTTTTAGTTTTACTCCTTCCATGCTCGTTGGTAAAAAAAAATCCACAATATTTCGCACTGAAATTCATTAAGATTTCTTAACCACCAATCGAAAATGTTTACGATGTTTCTAATCCTATCGTAGTGAAGAACTCAGTGACCTAAAACGTCCTATCGGTTCGCGGAACGTCAGGATTCCAGGCTATTTCCGAGTACCAAAAACCTCGCTTTCAAAATGAGGCTAACTGTAGAACGGTTCATATGAAAATGAGTCTGAATTTAATCAGAATATTTAATACTGAGGAAATTATTTTTATTTTAGACTTTGCATTTACCCTCGTTTTGAAAAAAAAAAGAGGCTAAGAGCAGCTCGGAAGGCCTAATCGAAAACTTTTTTCGAGAAGCTTGTGACACGCATAACGAACACTCAAGTAATCCATTTTTTGCATGGTTACAATGAACATCCACAATCAGACAGAGCGCTAAAAATATTTAAGCCCTGCATGAGGTTGTCAATACCTGGTAGCGAATCGATTTCGTTGCCGATTTTCTCTTCCATTTTCCTGAATAACCTGTCCTCTTCACCTTGGGCGACAAACGTCACAGCAATACCCTGTGTACCTAGGCAATAATATTTGAAAAGCTTTAGTTCATCTTCTGGAGTCAAACCTCTCACATGAGCTCAATCACAACCACGTAGAACTGAAAGGCCATAGCTTTCCCCGACCTCTGTAGCAGTACCAATATCCTTATACTGTAAACTTCCGCCTATAAGCGCCCCCCCCCACCTCCCTTCACTTATAACCCACCGCGCGGCCACCCCTTTTCCTTTCAAATTGTGTAATTTTTTTTTATAGATTTCCATCATAGAAAAATGAGAAGTACTTAAAATAGAGCAGTTAAGTGTCCCGGCCACCCCTTTCTGAATTTTCTGGATCCGCCCCCTTCCTCCCCCCCACGCCCCCCAACGCTAACAATTTAAGTGGTCAGGAGAAACCAAATGTAA